ATACACGGAGAACCACTACACCCCAGGTTAAGGAGTAATACGGAGGAATGCTTCTTCGGATCAAGTATCCGGTCATTTGGCCAGTGTTCTCCACAGGAGGAAAGATTTGTGGACTTGGGCCAGTCCTCAAATCTTCTTGGCATCACAGTTTTATTGCTTAGATGCAGGTTCTGCTCTCTGAAAGCAAGGCAGGCAATCAGCAACAGCTCAGAGTGTGCACTACGACAACAAGACACGGACCAAGGCCCTCACGTAAAGGTCAAGGGGAATGGCATCATTTGCTATCTGCAGATTGAGAAGATTAATGACACCTCGGAGGTGGGAAATGCCTCCTTGTCTCTCTCACCACAGTGAGTACCGGAAGCGGGTGCGTCTCCAAGGATCAGGAAACAGTAAGGCTTCCATCCCCACAACATGTTTATTTGGGTCAATGAAAGACCCAGTATTTGCGTTTATGCAGCATCCTTAAGTGGGTCAGGAATAACTCCTACTTGTTTTGTTGTTGTTGTTGCTTACTAAAACATTAGGAGCCCATCCCATTTGGTTAGTTTATGGTGCATTGTATTGAGCTGCGGTGGCGCAGTGGTGAGAGTGCGGTACTGCAGGCTACTTCTGCTGACTGCCAGCTGGCTGCAATTTGGCAGTTCGAATCTCAGCAGGCTCATTTTGACTCAGCCTTCCATCCTTCCGAGGTGGGTAAAATGAGGACCCAGATTGTTTGTGGGGGGCAAGAGGCTGACTCTGTAAACCGCTTAGAGAGGGCTGTAAAAGCACTGTGAAGTGGTATAGAGTCATGGTAGCATAGTGGTTAGAATGCAGTATTGCAGACTGACTCTGCCTACTGTCAGCAGTTCGATCCTGACTGGCTCAAGGTTGACTCAGCCTTCCGTCCTTCCGAGGTGGGTAAAATGAGGACCCAGATTGTTGGGGGCAAGGGGCTGATTCCGTAATCCGCTTAGAGATGGCTGTAAAAGCGGTATATAAGTCTAAGTGCTATTGCTATTGTATAAATCCAGAAAAGGGGATTACTTCAGTATCCAGGTTTTTGAGTGCAGCTAGAGAATGGTTCTGCACACCAGAGAGGGGCAATGGGTACCATCCGATAAGCAAAGACTGAGGCCAAGCTTCAAGTGAAGCTAGCTTCTCCCTCTCGTGCCACATTTGCAAAAATCCGCAGATTAGGTTGACCAAATTTGATTAAAAAGTGGCCGAGCAACTCTTCAACCTTTTGAAGAATGGCCAAAACAGGCCAAAGCAGACTTGGTCTCTTCTGGTGAGAAGAAGGGTCCCCGAAGCCTACAGAGAGTTGGCAGGGGTTAAGCTGTGGTTCTCTAAACTTTTGCTAGGAAATGCTCACACATCAGACTCCATTTAGACCTCAGTTGGTCCATCTCCTGCAGGAAATACCATTCCATAGTTCTGAGATATATATGTGTGTTGTGGCTCAGAGGTTTGAGCCTGCTTTGTCAGAGATCGAGGACTTGGACAATGAGGAAGAGGAGGATTTGGCTCTGAGGTTTGAGCCTGCTTTGTTAGAGGATATGGAGTTGCCTTCCTCCCCAGGACTTCCCTCGTTGGCAAGGCCTTCCTCCCTGATTGTGCCTCAGGTGTCGGCAGATAACCAGGAGAGCGTATCAGAGTCTCTGACTGAAGATCAAGCTGAGGAATACTGGCTTGATGCGAGGCAACGGCGCAGGAAAAAGTGCGAGTTGCAATGCAGAAAGAAAGGATGAATCAGAGACTGAGATGAGGGACTGACACGCCGAACAGGGAATAAAAGTGGGTGTGTTCGCTCTGAGAACTTGTTCGGGACAACGTGTTAATTTAGTGAGAGAAGCTTCAAGTATCCTGTGTGCGGTGACGGCTTGTGATTTATGTTCCTGCTTTATTGTCAGACTTGGCAGACAGCTTGTGTGAGACTGCCAAGAACCTTATTGGCTTAAGGAATTTAACCCTGAAATTACTGGACTTGCTTGCTTGTTTGTTTTCAGTTGGAAATTTGGACTTCTCACCTCATTGGTACAGGTGAGACATAACATATATATATTCCAGAACTGAGGAAGCATAGCACTTGAGGTCCAAAGAGCCCTTTCTAAGTCAGGTTGGATTGTCACAGCATACTACCTAGACCAGGAATCTCCAAACTGGATGATTTTAAGACTTATGGACTTCAACTTTCAGGATTCCCCAGCCAGTATGACTGGCTGAAGAATTCTAGGAGTTGAAGTCCAACAAGTCTTAAAACTGTCCAGTTTGGAGATCCCTGGACTTGACCAAAACAGACTAAACTCATAAAGATGTTGGAAGTCCACAATTATCTTAGCTTATTCAGTGATTCAGGCCCACACATTAAGCCAATGTATGGTATTCTGGGTGTGTCCTAGGAATTTAGGAAATATATTTTATTATTCTAGTTACATATGATGGATGCCACCGCTGGCTACCAAGGTATCCTAACTTGATTGACGTTTTGCCATACCGAATATTGCAATAAACATCGATCAAGTTAGGATACGTTGGTAGCCAAAACATAAGCATTGCGAGAGTGTTTTCTTAAACCAGGTTTACAATTGTGCAAGACATGCAAACCCAGATGCAAAACTGCAGCCCTGCGGGGGACATAATTGGGAAAATTAGAGCCGAGTTTCTCATCCATGGAAATTTTCAGAGGTGTGGACATTAATTCCCAGAATTCTCCAGTCATTGAAGTTGAAGTCCACACATCTGAAATTAACCAATGGTTGGAAACACTGGCTTAGAGTAACCAGAAGGAACTTTTTGGTCCACGATGCTGATCCTGAGGGTTGAAAACAAACCAAGCGGTAGTCTGTAGGGGTTCTCAGTCATCCAGGTCATGGTTGTCCCAAAAATGCTTTTTCAGGAGGTAACTGGACTTTCTTGGTTTTTTTCTTTGGAAGACATTTCACTTCTCACCCAAGAAGCTTCTTCAGCTCTGACAAGATGGCAGGAAAGGGAAGGATTCGTGTTCCTTGCAGACAGCGGGTCGTTTGCATCCTTTTTAGAGGGTTGTTAAGGCCACTTGGAGGTTTATCTGTGACCCTGGTTCCTGTAGCCACCCAATGAACTGGAGGACTGAGAATCTTTACAGATTTTTAGCTATACATTTTGGGATGAACACCTTTTGAATGGGTGTGGGAGTAGGAAGGGATTCCCAGAGGGAAAATTTCAGGCTACGGGAACCATTTGCACTACTCAGGTGACCCTGAGGACACAGATAAACCTCCAAGTGGCCTCAACGACCCTCTAAAAGGATGCAAACATCTTCAAAAGAAAAACAACCAAGAAAATCCAGTTGGGAAAAGGACCTTTGGGAAGACCAAGATGTAGCAAGCCAACGGACACTACTGCTGCGTTCCCAGTTCTCCCCCGAGGCATAGGTGGTCTGGGAAGCCTCCTGCAGAATGAAACCTGAACAGGTGGGCTGTTCTTGCCCACCTGTCTTGTCTGCTCCAGCTACTTCTCGTCCCAAGCTGCCTGCTTTCAGCTCAGAGAGCAGGCTGGATGAGTCTCGGTGGGTTGGAGAGGAAGGGGAATTAAAAAAGGCAGTTGCTTTGGCGGGCCACCCACTCCTTGGTGTCTCCAGTGTTTCGTTCTCTGCATTTGGGATGAGCAAGGTGAGTCACTGTCTGATGGCAAAGGCATCCCCCACCTCCAGCCTCACTTATGAGCAGCACCGGCAGGGAATACTAAAGAAGTACTACAAGGACACAGACTCTGTCCTTATTCTACATTCTTCTCCCAGTTGGTTCCTCCCTTTCTCTGCAGTTCTTTCGGCAACGCTTAATTGCAGGATTTAAAAGCCCGTACCACACCGAGGTGGAGGGGATGGAGCCCAGATTGAAGGGCTTCAAAGGGGACAAGACCAATCTGTGGAGGCAAAGGAACTGAGTTCCTCACTCTGTATTTAATGCCTTCCTTCATCATATTAAAAAATAAGCAATGGATGGTAACTTGTACTGGCTTTGTTGGCGATACCACACCCTTCTTGATTCATGATTCACTTGATATCATTTCAGGGTGGGACCCCTCTACAACAAAAAAATGTTCTCAACTTGCAGGGGATGATGGGCTCTTTGCTCTTTGTCCCCAAACCTAAACCTTCACCAAAACTGCAAGTTGACCAATGTGCTGTTAACTGTACAGAATACGGAATGAGCGCTCTCTCCGGGCTCAGCGAAATTCTTCTGTATTGGAGCTTCAGGCGTTTCTGAGAAACAGGATTTTATCTGGTACCCAGTGGAAATAAATCAATAAAATAAAAGGTACGGGACGAAATGCCTCACGTGATAAAATATGAGGAAGCTGTAGCTTTTACAAATATGGGTGCTATTCTATAGTCCTGCAATTGTGAGCCCTGGTGGTGCAAGTGGTTAGAATGCAGGATTGCAGGATGACTTCTGCCCACTGCCAGGAGTTCAATCCTGACTGGCTCCAGGTTGACTCAGCCTTCCGTCCTTCTGAGGTCAGTAAAATGAGGACCCAGATTGTCGGGGGCAAGAGGCTGACTCTGTAAACTGCTTAGAGAGGGCTGTAAAGCACTGTGAAGCAATATATAAATCTAAGTGTTATTGGGAAGGAAGGGAAGGAGGGAGGGAGGGAGGGAGAAGGAAAGAGGGAAGGGAGGAGCCACAGTGGCACAGTGGTTAGCATGCAGTACAGCAAGCTAATTCTGCCAAATGCCAGCAGTTCAATCCTCACCAGGCTCAAGGTTGAGTCAGCCTTCCATCCTTCTGAGGTTAGTAAAATGAGGACCCAGATTGTTGGGGGGAAGGCAAGAGGCTGTCTCTCTAAACCCCTTAGGAAGGGCGGTAAAGCACTGCAACACCGTGTATATAAGTCTAAGTGCTACTGCTATTGGCATCCTGGCTCAACATGTGCTAGATGAGATCAAGAGGCCATTTTGAGTTTCATGAAGGACCAAACGCAAATCTCCACTACTCAGAGCAGACCAGAGCAGTCCAAGACAATGGAAGACCTACCTGGTTGCAGGTATTAATATCCACGCCATTACTTAGATGGTCTAGAGCTTTGTCCAGGTTCCCTGATCGTGCTGCTCGGAGGAAGCTGGTCGCAGCATCAGCCTGGGAGAGGAAAAGAAAGAAATGGTTAGACGATTAAGTAAGTAAGACCCAAAACTCCCAAAGGTTTAATTAACTGATCGTTCCTCAGTCTATCCGCGTGTGTGCGTGTGTGTGAAATATAAATCCCTTGCATGAAAAATTGAGCCCACCGGGGGCACAATGATGGTTTGGGTTTCCTTTGGATATTCCTAGTGGACCATCCATGACATTGACCCCGATTGTTGTTATTTAGCGAGCCCGTAACCCCTTGTGGGGTGGAGTCAGGACAACTGAATGGAATTGAGTGTTTACTGGCTGGATGCCCTTCCTGTTGCCAATGCGGAGTTCTATTCAGCTGATGGATTCTTCACTGTGGCCAGAGAGAGAAATGTCCGCCTCTACCTAGGATCGAACTCACAACCTCCTGACTGTGAGGCGAGAGCTCCACATCAAGGCTACTGGATCACTCGACACTGAACCTGATAAGGGGTGTTATTTTTAGCAAGGCCTGCTGTTCCTCACCTACCTAAGCAGCCCTACCTAAGCACACCTGGTGCCTTCCGTCAACACATTTGTTACAATCTTGGTAAGCCCTATTGTGGCTGATGGGTGGGTTTTGGCTTCTATGCTAATCGCCACAGCTGTGGTGAGCGCCAGGATATAAAATTGTAGCCTTGGAGATAAGACCATCCTCTAGCATCCCATCTCCTTTTCAAGTGGGTGGGGCTAAACAGATTTACAGATACCCTACACCAGCGGTCGCCAACCAGTGGGCCGCAAGAAAATTTTGGTGGGCTGCAGAAAAATCTCACCCCTAGATCAATCTCCCCAAAGCAATTAATCCAGGCTGCGCAGAAACACAAGGCTGAGCTGCCCACATGGCCCACGGGAACCCTCCCCGCCCACTCACTCCTTGCCTGCTAAATTGCTATTTTTCCTTTTTCCGACCATCAGCTGTTCTGCTATGCCGGGAGATTTAGATTAGCTAGGAAGCAGGAAATGGTTGGATTTCTTGCTTTCTAGCTAGTCTTTAGATCTTCGGCTCTGCTTTTAAGCACAGCCGAACCTCCCTTAGGACTGAAGCTTCTATTATTCAGTGCAGACTCACGGCAAGCACATTTTATGTGACAGACTCAGGTAGCTGATGGCAGATAGATAGATCACTGAATGATTCTGTGAGCAACTCAATCTTCCTGCCTGCTTTGCCTGATTTTGGGTAAAAGTTGCTCTGTTTCATAAAAAAATTCAATATTTATATAAATGTTTATAATATTTACATAAAAGCCATGCCCAGCCAGTCAGATGACCACCAAGCCACACCCACAAATTGGGCCGCGCCCACAGAACCAGATCCCTGGGATTTAAAATTATGAGTTTGGTGGTCCCTGAGGCGCAAAAGGTTGGCGACCTCTGGCCCTACACCATTCCTGACAGATGGTGGTCCAGTCTCTTCTTGAAAGCCTCCAGCGATGAAGCTCCCACAACTTCTGAAGGCAACTTCTGTTCCATGAGTGGATTTCTGCAGAGTTTCGATTGCCACCAGGTTTGTCAACCTTTCAAAAGTCTCTAAAGATCTGCTTTTGCCAACAGGCCTGGGTGATCCAGAGAGGGATGAGGTCTATAAAGTGGCTTATTTTATAGTTGCTGCCAGGGTTGTGAGTGCTTATCGTTTATAGTTTGTATGTTTTTTTTTAAATGTTTTGGTAAGCCAGCCAGAATTACTGAGACTGAGTGGGTGGCACTCACAAGTAAGCAAGTAAATAAATAAATCTAGACTGCCAATCAATCAAGCCACAGTCTGACAAAATTTGAAAGCCGTTTATCAAAATTGTTTTTTCAAAGAAATCATTTAAAAGCTGGTGAAACTGCAGCAGACGCCTCTTTTAAAAAAAGCAGAGAACTGTCACGTCAGTTCTGAAGACTCTCAAGTCAATATTGCTACACCGCCCAAGTTTGAATGTTTGCAGCTTCTTCCTACATTCCTTTTGTGCATCTGGCCATGCGCACTTCAGAGGAAACCCAGCACGGGTTGAATTTTCATCCTCCTTTCTTTCAGTTTTCCCTTGCGTCTTGTGAATATCTTCACAAAGTTTCTCTGGCAAAGTCATTTCTTGACAATGAGCCTCATCCTAAACACTGTACAGAAACGTGGAGTATCCAATGATCTAATTTGACACCTCAAGATCGTTATTTATTTACATTGAGCAAGGAGTCTTAATGGACAACCAATGAAAGATGAGCCAACAGTGTGCAGCGGCAGCCAAAAAAGCCAATGCAATCCTTGCATTAACAGAGGCATACAATCGAGATCAAGTGAGGTACTAATACCACACTGTAAAGCATTAGTAAGACCACACCTAGAGTACTTCATCCAGTTTTGGTCACCGCACTATAAAAAAGATGTTGAGACTCTAGAAAGAGTGTAGAGGAGAGCAACCAGGATGATGAGGGGACTGGAGACTAAAACATACGACGAACGGTTGCAGGAACTGGGCCTGGCTGATCCAGTGAAGAGAAGGACCAGGAGAGACAGGATAGCAGTCTTCCAACATTTGAGGGGCTGCCACAGAGAGGAGGAGGGGGTCAAGCTATTTTCCAAGACACCTGAAGGCCAGACAAGGAATAATGGATGGAAACTGAACAAGGAGAAATTTAACCTGGAAATAAGGAGAAACTTTCTCACAGTGAGAACAATCAACCAATGGAACAGAAGTTGCCTTCAGAAGTTGTGGGAGCTTCATCCCTGGAAGCTTTCAAGAAGAGACTGGACTGACATCTGTCAGAAATGGTGTAGGGTCTCCTGCTTGGGTGGGGGGTTGAACTAGATCAGGGGTCCCCAACCTTGGCAACTTGAAGACTTGTGGACTTCAAGCTGGCTGAGGAACTCTGGGAGTTGAAGTCCACAAGTCTTCAAGTTGCCAAGGTTGGAGACCCCTGGACTAGATGATCTAAAAGGTCCCTTCCAAATCTGTTCATCTAATCTAATCTTTGCTTAGCAGTGGACATTTTGAGCTCAATATTGTAAGCAAATTGAAAACTACCTGTAGGTTTCCCTACCTGCTCACCCCCAGCCTGCCTCCTCCTGGTATCTCTGCATTTCTTGGAAGTGAACATTAACAACTACTGGAAATCATTTTGATTCCAGTAAGAGTATCGCGAGAGTAAATCAGACGAGTAGAACCTTCCCCCCACCCCTGGCTACACCAGTTACTCCTGTAGGTGTATCTCAGAAGATTCTCTGCCCACATATGAGAGGTGGTTTTTCTTCCACGCTGCCAAAAAGCACATTTGCCAAGTGAATCTTTCACTGCAAGAGGGCTGGGCCAGTGGCTGCCCTTACAGCTCGGTGAGGTCCTTGGCCCGATTTCAGCAACCTTTTTCCAGTGATCTCCTCAGATCTCCGGCAAGAGCCAGTTCTGTCTCTCTTGGCTGCCTGCTATGTGAGGAGGAAGAAAGAGAGACAGAGGGAACAAGGAGGAGGAAAGGAGGAATGGTAGGGAGGAAGGGAGGGAGGAGATGACAAAACATTGGACAAAATAGGTGTTTGCCCCTGAATATGAACATCAGATGGGTCCTTGCCAGTCCCACCAAGTAGACCAGACCAAAAAATCAACTCCACGGCAAGGCTAAAACTACTTTTTTTAATTGAAATTGGCTGTAATAACAGGATCTTGCACGTCTGATTGTGTTGCACCTCCTTCTTATACATCCGTGGATTAGGGAACGGGGTCTGACTGAACCACCTCCAAACATCATCTGGGCATTCTGGATTCTTCCATCAAGGTCATCTTCCTTACTCTCTGAAGGTCCACACCTATTGACCCCCTGCCCCCACCCAGGACATGGCAACCGTCATAAAGATGAGTCAGTCACCAAGTGTCTGAATTTGTGATCATTGGGATGGAAGAACTGCTGGTGAGGGGGATTGAGGACAAGGATGAACATAAATTAGAATAGAATAGAACAGAACGGAATGGAACAGAACGGAATGGAAGAGAGTAGAGTAGAGTAGAGTAGAGTAGAGTAGAGTAGAGTAGAGTAGAGTAGAGTAGAGTAGA